GGGGTCGAACACGGGGTCTCCGGGCGGGATGTGGATGTTGAGGAACTCGGCGGGGCAGCCGGGGGTGTCGACGCTCACCACGTCCGAGAGCACGTGGTAGCCTGGGGGAGCGTGGGGAAGGCGCTAAGGCCACCTCAGGGCGCCCTGCCCATGCCCAGCTCCCCCTCCACCCCCGGAAGCCTCAGGAGTCAGCAGTCCTGAAGCACGCGGGGAGCGCAGAGATGCACCAGCGCCTGGTCTCCCTCTCTGCGCCCGCCCGAGTGTCCTAATGGCCCTCTCCTTGGTAACTGGGAGGTGGCAGGCGCACGGGCTGGTGGTACCCGCTCGGACCCACAGCTGGCAGCCTCCCCAGAGGCTGAGGGCCTCAGAGGGTGTCAGACCCAACCCCCAGGACACCAGTCACCCTGCTGGGGCCCCTGGAACACCCATTTTGACCTCCCCTCAGCCCTCCGCCTCAGAACCCATCCTGCTCAGGTCCTAGAACCCACTGGGACAAGAGGGCTCTATGAGAGACCCCACCAATTTTCACACCTGGCCCCACCCCGTGCCGCACTCCCACTCTTAGACCCTCATCATTCTGACCCCTCCTGGGGCAGGGAGGGGTGCAGCGGACCCCCTACTTCTCTCGGGAGCAGTGGGCAGAGGTCCTCACCGAAGAAGACACCCAGCACAGTGCGATTCCGCAGGGAGGCTTGGCCCGAGGGGCCCCGCAGGGCGCTGTTGCTGAGTTTCCGAGGGTTGGGCAGGTGAGGCTCTCCCAGGGGCTGGTACACACCATCCGCATAGCTGGCAGGGACCAGGCGCCGCAGCCGGGACCCTGGTGCAAGAGAGGTAAGGACAAGGACCAGACCAATCCTCCGGGAGCAGGCTTTCTGTATGTAGGCAGTCCTGAGGGTCTTCACACTGCCCTACATCCCCAGCTCTTTTTCTTTTCTTTTCTTTTTTAAAATAGTTTCACTAAGCCTGCTAAATTGCCCAGGCTGGGTTTGAACTTGCAATCCTCCTGCCTCAGCCTCCTAGGATACTAGAACAATAGGCCTATGCCATTGTGTCTGACCCAGGAAGTAGTTTTGTCTTCCTTTCTCCCAGAGTTCCCCCCATGCCTTGGATCCTAAAATTTTAGAGGTGAGTAGCCTGTGCTGCCACTTGACTGTCCCCATTCGGTGGTCACCTACCTTTGCTGCCCCAGCTGTGCTCCTTGAGGTTGTTGTACCAGCCGTCATAGCGCTGTACCTCCCATGAAATGGGGCTCCAGGCTCCTGCGTGAGATTGGGGGCAGTCGGTGTGTGAGAGGCTGCACAGACCTGCCAGGACCGGGCCCTGAGCCTGCTGCTCTGGGCAGCAGAAGGTGGGTGGCCAACACAGATGGGAATAGAGTGGCCCAGGGGGAGAAACAGGGCAGAGTCACAGCCAGGATAGGGGGCTGCTGGCAGACAAATGGCCCCAGAGAGGAGAAGGACAGTTCCCATAGGGAAGAGGATCCTGGAGGACTCAGCAGCACAAAGCCATGCCCAGCCCAAGGATGCCACACAGCTGGAGCCTGCCACACCCCATCCCTGGTCAGGACAAGTCATTCTATGACCCATCCCTGGGCAGGGACAGGGTGGTGAGGGGCCTGGCCCTCTCCTGCTGAGCAGCCCCGGGCAGGGGTGCGGTATTGCTGCTCTGGTCTTGTTCCCAGTTTCCCGGGTGGGACTGGACTAGTCATGCGGGTGGCCTGCCCTCCCCCGCTTGGGACATCTGCTTCCCATGTAAGCCTCAGTCTTGATTCTACTGTACTCTGCACACAGTGGAGTCAAGGAAGGAGCAGCCAGTGGTGGCAAAGAGCTTTGGAAGGGGACAGAGGAGAAGGTCCAAAATCAGAGAGGGTGGGGAGTGTTCTGACCGGCCAGAGAATCGCCCTAAGCTAGAAGTCTCCCTCTTCTTCACCTCAGAGAGCAGAGGAAAGAAAAGGACTCTTAGAAGGAGAGGCATTCCTCTGATGGTCCTCAAACGAAGGACGAGGAAAGGAGAGGGCCAGGAGGAAGGAGTGTGTGGCCAGGAAGGTCGGCAGGGGCGGTGTCACCGTCCGGTCACTGCCACCAGCACACATCAGCTCACAGGGCTCCTCTGCTTCCTGTTTTGCATCTCTGGCCCCTGATGATCAGGGGCTTCCTCCTTCTAACCTAATTCATGGTACCTTGATCCCACTTCCCTCCTCCAGAGGCCCAGGCCACAGGCAGCAGCCTCAGATTCTAGTAAGAGGTTGTCCAAAGCTGAAGACAGCGAGATGAAACTCAGGATCATACTGTTTGGAGGCTTGGTCATACTGTTTAAAAACACTTGTGATTCCCTTTCAGCTCTGGGTCCAATCTGACTCAAGATTCCAGTCAGTCTTTTCCTATGTAGAGTCAGGAGCTCTTTATGAAAAGAGAGAAGACAGAGGTGAGAGAAAGCTACCCCTCAAACTGGAACAGTGGAACAGGAAATGCCGAGAGAGTCATTTTTCAGCCCCGGCTCCCTAACTCGGTGTATTTGGCAATAACTCATTCCATTATCCATCCGCTTGTCCAACATGAGCACCTACCGTGTGCAGAGACTAAGGACACGGGTGGATATGACACAGCTGCTACCCGTGGCAAAGCCCAGAGGATGCTGGGTCCCTGCACATAGCCACACTTCCTCTCCACTTACCCACGCGGGTCCATGGCCCAACCAGGAGGGCCCATGCCAGAGCCAGGCGGAAGCCCATGAGGAAGATGAGATGAGGGGCTCAGGTGTTAGAATCCCCCAGAATGGGCACCTAGAGAAAGAGGACAGAGGACAACCGCCAGCTGTTCAGGAGAATCAGGCCAAGGCCTCTGTAGGTCTCTGAGAATCCAGGCTGGAGTGGGCCTGAGTAGAACAAGAAATTTTCTCCCGAGAGACCGATCCATTTTTTTTTTTTTTTTGGTACCGGGGATCAAATTTGGGCCCTTTCGATTGTGAGGCAGGTGGCAGAACCACTGAGCCAAATACCAGCCCATTCAACAAATTCTTAGTGAGCACCCATTAGGTACTAGAGGCCCCAGAGCTGGATGATTGGGTGGAAAACCTTGCTCTGGCACAGCTGGCTGGAGACCAGGCTGGTACACCATGGACCTCAGGCCAACCACTTATCTGATGGGACCAGAACTGGGCAGAACTGTTCACTGCCCAGCATAGATGCCAGAATCACAAGTGAGAATGAGGTTGCATTCAGAGGAAAACAAAACAGGCAGGTGTCAGGCAGGTGTGACAGACAGTAGGCTGACTCAGGAAGAACTCAGGAGGGCTGCTGGCCAGATGCTCATGTTTTAGGGCTGGCTTCATGCCCTGCCTCCCACCATGGGGTAACCCAGGAAATCAGGGAAACAGGCAGCAGGCGGCCCAGGGAAAGCCTGATCCCCACTCTCAGGGCTTCTGGGCAGTCGTCAGAGGAGAGAACCCAGGACACGATGCCACCCTACTTCTTGTCTATTAAACGAATTTTAAAAGCCTAGGTCCTGTCCCAGCCTGAATGCTCAGAGCTCCACCCGGTCCTTGCACAGTCTTCCGGATGCTGGCCTTTGACAATTCGCAGAGAGCTTAAGCGGCCACAGCGTCTGTGCCCTCCCTCACTGTCATCCCTCTGGATCCTGGGCCCCAAACCCACGTGTCCTGTTCATCCCCAACAGGCTTCAGTGGGCTGACAGGTGTGGGGCCGCCTGGCAAGTTGCGGTTTGTGCTCTGGGAGTGGTGACCTTACTGATTTGCCGGGCAACATGGGACAAAACTTCCCCAAAACTTTGGAATGAAGGCTCAACCCCAGGCAGAGCAGAAAGCCGCAGGCCTCCGGGATCCCGCCCCACGTGGCCCACTTCCCCAGCCGAGCCAGAGCCAGCAGCCCCCGGGTCAGAGGGAGGTGAGCTAAAGCGATAGGGATTCCGAACTGTTCTCGGGAGGGCCGAGGGGCACAGCCTGGACCCCAGGAGTCCCTCCCCGGCATGCTGTGCTCTGAGGGGTAGATTCCCCCTAGACCCCCGCGGTGAGTCTCCCCCATTACCACGATCGGCAGCGCCCAGGCTCCCCAAATCGTGGTGGGCAGAGGACAGGCGCCAACAGGGCCCATGTTAGCCTGAGGACAGGTCTGAAGCCCTTCCCTCAGAAACCTGCCCTGGTGGGGCTCTCTCCCTGGCTCCTGCCCTAGCAGCTCCCTTCCCCGAGGCACCCCGGCCCTCCAGGACCTGACCTTGGTCGCTGCCTGTGTTCCGGGCCTGCTGATCGGCTCCCGCCTGGCTCCCGA